GTTTACAATACGGGACTAATAATAAGCAGCCGCGTATCTTCTATATTTTAGGTTGGTATCTTTAACCCTCAATTATTTGATCAAGACCAACAACTTTATGATGTACTTTTCTCTGTTTCCCTCACGTTTTTTCACGAGATACACTGTGACATGTGAGAGCAAAAATTGCAAATTGTCTAACTCGAGTGTATCAGAAAGATTCTCATGTTCACTGGAAACACATCCGAGATAAATCTCTCATAAGACCAACATCTCTTGAGGTTTTAGTCTGCTTGTGAACACTTAGCCTTACGCCTATTTTCAAGATACAGTACAAAAACGATCGTGCCATCAGTCTCACTCCCATAATTGCTAAAGTAGAAAAAAATATAATACTTGGTGAAATGCTCAAGTTTGCTACCGAAAATAGTATCTTACCAGCCAGTCAACATATTTTTTTTGCCGAGTCGCTCTAACATCACAAACCTGCTTAATGTGATTGGACAAATATAATAGATATCAACATATCTGTACATGTAATATCCCTCGACTTTTCGAGAGCGTTCGATCGAGTACCACACGCACACCTTCTCAGTCACACATATACTAAGTGACATATAAATCCGAACACCCAGTTTAAATGGTTTTATTTTAATAAAAGTTGATGAATGTATTTATCTTACTGTAAATAACACGTGAAAAAATTTTCAGCCTCATCAGTTAGACATTCCGGTTTTTATACTGCTTTTTTTAATTCACTAACGCTCTAAAAATGAATATTTCAGCCGCAGTAAAGAATCAACGTTGGCGGATTTTGGTTCTTGACATCCTTTACGATCGGTTACGATGCCTAGAGTACGGAGACCTGTACGATTTCGTCAACTTAGTGAGTTTGATAGGGGCCGTATAGTGGGACTTCGAGAAGCTGGACTTTCTTTTCGGGCAATTGTAGTTAGAGTGCAAAGAAGTGTAGACACTGTGGTTAGGTGTTGTCAGGCATGGCTTCGAGAAGGCCGTACGCAAAGAGCAAGGGGCACTGGACGCCGCCGTAGAACAACAGACCGTGAAGATCGCCGCCTAAGATTATTGGCCTTAAGGGACCGTTTCTCCACTACCAGGTCCATTGCAAATGAATGGTTTGCAAAACACGGAAGACCTATTGACATGCGAAGTGTTTACCGACGAATGAGAAGTTTTGGCTTGTTTTCATACCGGCCACACTGGGTCCTCCCTTTAACTCGAGAACATCGACGTAATCGCCTTGAGTGGTGCAGACAACGGTCACTCTGGGATCAGGAATGGAACAGTATTGTCTTTAGTGACGAGTCTCGATTTTGTTTAGGCATGCACGATTGTCGTGACAGGGTAAGAAGGCGACGTGGTGAAAGGAGAAATCCACAGTTTTTTGTTGAAAGACATGTTCATCACACTGTTGGAGTTATGGCTTGGGGTGCTATAGCTTATGGTTCCAGGTCACCTTTAATCTTCATCAGAGGTAACATGAACGCGCAGCGTTATATCCACGAAGTTCTAGATCCCCATCTTTTACCCTATCTTGATACCCTGGCAGATCCAACTTTCCAACAAGATAATGCCCGACCACATGTTGCAAGAGTCACAATAGACTTCTTTCAACATAATGATATCACATTGTTACCATGGCCACCAAGATCTCCCGACTTATCCCCAATTGAGCACGTGTGGGATATGATGGGTAGGAGATTGCTCAATTTGCAACGTCCTCCTCAGACTCTAGAAGCACTTCGAGAGGAGTTGGTGGTTGCCTGGAATGAGATACCACAGGAGGACATTGACCAACTGATCAGAAGCATGCCTAGGCGCGTTGGAGAATGCGTAGCACATCAGGGTGCATCCACACATTATTAAAGGTCAAAGGGCTTTAAAGCAGTGTAATCATTTTGAAATTTTTATCATTTACTTATTATGCTTCATTAAGTACTTATACAAAATTTTATTAAAATAAAACCATTTAAACTGGGTGTTCGGATTTATATGTCAGAAATTGTATCTGATAGTCTGTCATGGTCCGTGCATATCCGATACTCAACGACTAAGGCCAAAAGGAGTCAGTACCTTATTGAAAGATCCTTTAAGGTCTTTGACAGTTCTACTGCTGGGCTCCCGTACACGTCACATCCTAGGCCAATTATAGGATTCTCTTGACCTGTTTATTATTCAACGCTACAATGTGTCCGAGACCTGTTGAAACATATTCAGATGAGGGCTACAGGCATCCCTACGGCATCCGACGACCTTGTTATGAGGAGAGGCTAAACCTATTAAACGTAACTCGCTTACGATGGGACTTGATAATCACATACAGAGCTTTGCATGGTTTCTTCGGCACTGACATCCTCACTTTCTGTTACTACACCAACCACCTGCGAAGACTTAAGTGAAGTTTCGAACTACCCCTCGAAAATTTCTCCTGTCTAACCGAGTATTTGATACTGGAACAGGTTCAAGAATCGTTTCGGTAGATCAGGAGTTCCCAAACAGGGGGGCGTGCCTCCCAAGGGGGCATAGAGAGATGTTAAGGGAGGCGGAAAGCGTTTGCACTTTAGAAAGAAAAACAAAAAAATTGTGCATACAACATTAACAAATAACATTACAGTGCAATGTTTAATTTACACGCATAAAATTAGAAATTAAATATCGTATTCACTAATTCTGTCAACAGCTGTTTCAAAAGCCGGCGTCGTCAATCGCAGATTATACAAGTTTCGACAAGTCACAACATGAAATCCGCGGTCACCCCCGCCGCGCTCCGCTTACCATTCATCATTTAGAAAACAATTGTGTATCTACCAGACGCGGATGAGTATTAAACTTGCGAAAAATTTGACGTTTCGATGTACATGTTTTGTTGAGAAATCTGTTTGAGTGTGTCAAATTATTGTGTCTCACTGTTAAAAGGTAAGTTTGTGTATTTACAAACTTCAGTTACCATTTTTATTTAATTTACTAAATTGTTGATTGTGTGGAGACGCGTTCATGGATCGGCCATTGAGACTTTTTTGCCACATCACAATCAAGCCAACATGGCGAAATAATTTTGAAACGACGAACTTTAAGTACCTAATATTGGTTCTAAATGTATTTCAAATAACTATTATAACGTCAACCTGACTTCAAAAATATAAATCTCCCGGTGGTCAATATACTGTTGAATACACTACGTTATTAAGATAAATAACGGGCATACACTAGACAACAAATTTTAGTTTTTTAATTGTATCTTGTGGGAAAAGTGAACTTCTTTGTTAATTTTGGGGCGCTGAATCCAAAAATGACAATGAAATAAAAAAATTAGTTGCGGTTTAGAAAAAGAATTTTTTATTTTTAAGGATATATTAAAAAAAGTAACAAGATTCAGATACTTATAAGAATCACTATATGCGCTGTCTTTTTGCTGTTCTTTTATGGAAAAGCTGACCCATCTCTATCTAATGCCTTGACAAAGTTTTTCATTAGGCCCAACTTGATATGTAGTGGTGGTAATAAATTTTTTTTCGAATCTACTAATGGCATATGCTGTACATTTTTTTGACTTGGCTCTAGGAATTGACGAACAGGCCAGTTTTGTCTGGTGTAATGAAGTGCCTTTGCCCGACTGTCCCATTCACACAAAAAACAGCAAAACTTTGTGTAGCCTAGCTGCAGCCCAAGTAAAAGTGCAACAACTTTCAAATCGCCACAAATATGCCATTGCTGCTCATCGTATTTTATGCATGTCAATAGGTACTTCATATTGTCATATGATTCTTTCATGTGAACTGCGTACCCTACAGGAAGAGATGGTAAAATGTTTCCAATATGCAATAACACTGCCTTTAAACTCAATGTTGAACTGTCTATAAACAATCTCCATTCGTCTGGGTTATAGTTTATATTTAAAGCCGCCAGTAAGCCGTTAATGTTACTGCAGAAAACCAAGTTATTCTCCATATTGAAAAATGGTTCTAAGTCTTTGTGGCGTTTACGAAAAACACATACCGAAACATTGTCTTCTAACAAGTTCCACTGCTGCAGTCTTGATCCAAGTAACTCTGCCTTACATTTTGGAAGTTCTAAATCTCTTACCAGATCATTTAATTCTGACTGTGTTATTTTGTGCGGTAGGTGGCATGACGTGCTCGGTATAAAATCAGGATCTCTTGACGTTGATAGCATATCTTCTTCCTGACGAATCACTCGATCGCCATGACCTGATTCGTTTTCTGATTCGCAAGTGTAGGATTCTGGGGGTTTTGGAATAGGATTTTCGTCACTGTGAGGCACAGGTCTCATCGCAGATGGTATGTTTGGGTAGTTAATAACCGATTTTTTTTTTCTTGGACATACCTGTGGCTTGCCCAACACAAGGTACCATGCAAAAGTAACAATCATTAATACGATTTGTAGGCTCTCTCTAAACCATTGGGACAGCAAAGCGCATAGACCGTTTTTTGCCATTTAACCAGCTCCTCAGACTTGAAGCACATGTATTACAGCAGATGTGGGTGCCCACTGTTTGTCTTGATCACCTAGTTTAAAACCGAAATAAAGCTGATATGCCTTTGTTATTAGTGGAGTAATAGACCGTCTCTGAGACGCAAAAGTCACATCACCACACACGTAACAATTCTTGTGAATTACAGTATATTAACACTGTCACAGCAGGAACACATATAATTACCGTATCTCTAAAACTTGAACTAATATTGAAAAAATAAGTTTCATTCCGGTTTTAGCACATTAAAAATAGTAATATTTTGTTGATTTTATTTAGGATATTTTTTGGCTGTTGATTAGTAATTAGTAATTACATGTAGGTATTTTGCTTATTTATTTATTACTTATTTGTTTTATTGTTTTAGGTGCAAAATGGCAGAGAAAAAAAGAAAGTTTTCCGAAGATTACGTTAAGTTTGGATTTACCTTCACAGAAAAACACGAGTTACAATTGCCTCAGTATGTAATGATAGCATGAGGCCCAATCGCCTTGAAAGTCATTTGAAGCAACAACATCCTACTCTGGTTTTGAAGATGAAAGAGTTTTATTCTTCTAAAGCAGTATCACTCAAGCGGATGAGACTGGATAAATCGGGAAGTTATCACCCAGCATCTCAAAGCTTCATTTGGCATAGCTTTTATGATAGCAAAGCAAAAGAAAGCTCATACTGTCGGTGAAAAAATTAATAAAACCATGTGTTCTAAGAGCCGCGCAGATAATTTTAGGAGAAGATGCAGAGCAAAAAATGAACTCTATTTCTCTTTAGAATAACACAGTCAAGCGTAGAATCGATAACATTGCAGCAGACATAAAGCTACAAATAATTAACAAAGTAAAATTATCGCCATTAGTTGCGATGAATCCACCGACATCGTTAATTGCGCACAGTTAATAGTTTATGTTCGTTACATCGGCGGAGATATTATTCAAGAAGAGATTTTGTACTCCCTATCTTTGACTACAGGTACTACATCTGAAAATATATTTAACTCAATATCAAATTTTGTTGAAAAAAATTATTTGGATTGGAAGAAACTCATTCGACTTTGCACAGATGGCGCACCTGCAATGATAGGTGTACGATCGGGATTAGCTATAAAGCTCAAGGAAAAAATCCCGCAATAGTTAGTACACATTGTGTTATTCATCAGTAAGCTTTGGCTTCCAAAACATTGCCTCAGAAATTACGCCAGACTTTGGACTCGGTTATAAGGATTGTAAACTACATCAAGAGCAGCGCTTTGAACAGTCGGTTATGTACTTTACTTTTGCGAGGATCTCGATTCTGATTTACAAAGTTCTTCTGTTCCATATAGAAGAACACTGGCTGTCCAAAGGCAACATGTTGGCTCGCCTTTATGAATTGAAAGAAGATGTAATTCTTTTTCTTGAGTTCAAAGAAAAACACGATTTCTTGACAATGTTAAACATATTAAACATTTCAATGGAGGTTGGCTTATTTAACTGACATATCTGACTCCCTGAATGAACTAAACTTCAGACTTCAGGGCAGAAACAAGAATATAATAAGCAATTATGATTATATTTAGGGGTTCATATCAAAGCTTCAATTTTGGAATCTAAAAGTGCCTTCTGAAAATGTTATATCTTTTTCTCGACTGTTTGAAACAATTAAAAATAACATACTGAACGCAAATTTTAGAAGCTGACATAAAAACTCATTTGCAAGCGCTGGAAGACGAATTTCGCCGATACAATCGAGACATCAATTCAGAGTCACCAATACGGCACATGACAAGAAATCTATTTGTTGCCAATGTATCACAATTACCAGAAGAAGCTCAGGAAGAATTTCTAGAAGTGAAGACTGATTCGTCCATGAAAGATGACTTCCATCTTCTAACATTGGAGAAATTTTGGATCAAAAGATTGCCTGTTAATTCGACACTTGCCTCTCTTGCTTTACGAATACTAGTTCTTACTTATGCGATACAGGCTTTTCTGCTCTAGTTTTAATTAAAACTAAACAGCGAAATCGTCTTGATGTCGACAGCGACCTGATGATAGCTCGGGCAAAAACAGAACCTAGAATCAACCAACTGGTACAGAACATGCAATCTCAAGTGTCGCATTAGTACCTACTCTTATTTTATTCAAGTTTTTTTATAAAAAACATTTAGGGCCGATTTCACCAACATTAATATTATGGACCAATCGGAAAATACCTTATCGAAATGCAGTTTGACAGAACCTGTCAAATGTCTCTGAATATTAGTGATTTCTATTGAAATATTGAATAAAATTGTGAAAATTCGACTGTATTATAAAGAAGATCACTTTTTGATTCCAACATGATGCTTTTGTACAGAAAAAACAGGACAACTTTCATGTATTTTGATATATGTTATAGGTTTATATTTAACAATCCGTGATGCGAATGGGAATGCGGCAAATAATAGTTCGGTTTTTGTAGCTGTTAAATTTGGCACCAGATTTGGACGTTTGTTAATGCATGGCACTCTCGAATTTACCAACTTCAATATATTGAAAGTAATCATTACATGCCTGTTGAATAGTGTGGATTTGTCAGTATTTTGCAAGAAAATCGAATATAAAATACATTCCATCCAATTCCTCATCTTCCTTTACGTCATAATAGTAATCATTTATTAATTTATGGATTAATGAATTTCTTCAAAGTAATAAAACAGTATGTCCTCTCCATCCTAAAACACAGATAATATGTGTAAGACGTGTCAATCCCTACATCTCCCTCATGCATATTGCAATTACAATGGACATAGACAAAAAATTATGAAAAATGTTTCACAAATAATGTCTTTTAAGTCCAAAAATCATAAAAACTAGTAATGTTTGTCTTTTTGACTGGCGGGGATATCTATCTGTCACTCGCATGGTTGCCAAGTCTAACGACGATCACGTCCCGTGGTGGAGCGTGCAAAATGAATCTTTTACATTTGCTGGTTTTGAATTTTTTTCGTGGAAATTTACTAGGTATCATGATTATAAGCAACTTTGGTAGATTGTTCGATCCGGAATGGGAAAATGAAATATTTTGGTATCATCTAACCATTGCAATCAGTGCACAAACACTGTGACATATGATTTATAGCATAACCCGCTGCCCTATCAATACAAATTTAACATACAGGTCGCCTAGCCGTGGGGATGCAGTGGTCGGGATGAATATCATGGCAGCAACTGTCAAGATGTATAACCCAAGGTACCGATGGAGCTATTTTGCGGCGTCATGGAAATAATTTTAAATTTTCATTTGCATTTTTTCAAGTTTTGTGCAATGATTTTGGGAAAAATGTCACGAATAGTCTTATAAAGCATTGTAGAGTATATTCCAACAGTTGGCGAAACTTACTCCACTGGGACCAGGAGGATGAAACGGGATATTAATGCACAATCTGGAAATCCTGTCGCACCCTGGCAAAATGGCCGCTAACAACCACACAAGTCACCGTGTTGTCATTGAATAGCATGGAATTAAATCTTCAAAGTATATGTTTGGTGACTGGTACCAAGAGTTGACACATCCCACACATGTGTCACTCCTTGAAATGCAATAATCAGCTGTATTCAAATAATGTCTAATATAAATACAACCTAGAATGTGTACTCGTGAAAAAAGAAAAATATGGCAAATTTGTAGTTTTTTTGCAGGTTTTAGGTTTGCTGGTAGCTTGAAGGCATATATTTGGGAATTTCTTAATCGCTGTGAATATAGTATGGATGTTTGTTCAGTTCCTGAACAACGAAAAATATTCAACTTTATGGATGTATGGATATCAAAAAACCTGAATGGTTTTGTGGAAATATCAATCTAAGGTGCCATAATGGTTCTGATGAACGGCAAGTAAATGAATGAATGGAAACGAGCAATATCTTTTGGTAGAGCCTGTCATCAAGTAGGTGCTTAATGGCTATCTGCAAGAGGTTTATAGGAAAAAACACCCAGTGTCGCATATCAATTGAAGAAAATAATATAAACATGAATAAAAATCAACAGTAGTAATTAATGATGAATTTTATTAAAAAATCCAACATTTCTTTAAATTTTGACTGAATTATATGTGATTTCTTAATATTCAATAACCTAGTGATGTTTCAATGACAAGCTGTCATCTCATACTTTGACAGTATTTTGTTTTCAACATTTCATAGCTATTGGTTGCTAAAATTTGTTGATTGGAACTTGAAGCTCATGGTTGTATTTGACGGTCTGTTACCCTATAGGTGGAGAATAACGGACTGTGGTTGGTGAAATTGGCCCTTATTGGTTTATTTAAACTTTTAAAGTTCCTCTATTAGAATGTATTTATTGAAAAAGTAAAGGGCGGTATGAAAATATAATTTATAGTCCGGGGAACCTCAACAAAAAAAGGTTTGGGAAACACTGCGATAGATGGATGCACGCCGAACTCTACTTTGCTTATGACAAGATCTTTCGTATCTCTGTTTGATCTTTATCGATTTTGATCAACTCTTCGATTATGTATAATAATAATCTCACTGAAAACTACTTTATAAAAAATTATCAATGAATTTGTGAATACACGAAGCCATCTGTTCATCTGCCGCCATTTCTCGCGCTGCGGCATTCCTCCGGCCGCACTTGAACTTGACAATGACTCCTGCTGGCTCGTCGGCGACGATGGCCTAGGCCTCGGCCTCCGAAGAGTGCGTAACCGTCGAAGATCGAAGAGGTGGCGGGCAGCGTATAAAGAAGACGACTAGGAAGGCCGCTCGCCGTTTGACCGTCGTCGTTCTGTTGGTCCTTTTGGTTCTTCTTTCGGCTTCTGCTGGTGCTAGTGGTACTACTTGGTACTCGGCGTGTGACGTTTCGTGACCGCAGTTCCTGCTACTGCTGAAGTTCCCGGTGATCTTGCTGAAGCTGTAACCTGCCGGCCAAAATACCGGTGAGTTGCCGTATTTTAGGGAATAATAATAATGACAATATTTACAAGACGATGCAGAGAGGAGTTTTATTGGCAACTGCTCGTACCGTTCGGAAGTTCATGGGAAATGCGAAAAATAAAAACTCATACGCTTTGATGGATGAGGAGAACGATGCCACGAGGCTAATAAAAAGTAATAATAAATAAATCGTCGTTATTTAAGAGGCGAAGTTTAATATAATGCTATTCTGCCACTCAACCCCAAAAAACTGAAACAATATGAATACAAAAACATAAAAACATTTGATAAGTTACAAGTAGGCAAAAATGTTGATGTATAAAAATATGAGTAAGTGGATGATATTCAATATTTCAGGTAAAAAAAAATTGTACAACCAAAATAATGTTATATTGTAATATCTGTGTGAGATGAAAGGTACATTTTAGCAACTGATTTGTGTATTTCTTGTTCAAAATAAATTTATTCATGTGTCTTTTAAATTCATCATATGATAGTAATTTTTGAAGCTCGAGATATAGCATTATAAAAAATAGCATTTACGGAAGAATCATGACCTGAGAATCGAATGTTCTTAGAATTAATATTGCTTCTAGATATCTGCTTATTTTTCAAAAGCGGGGGAATGAGCAAAAGTCTATGGGTGTAAGTAACTAGGTGTAGCTCGAACAGTTTTTTACTCTCAACCATTCCATGTCTCTGAGCAAAGAGCTGATGTGGTCATATTTTTTTTAAATTTTTGATCGTCCTACAACATTAATTTTGGATTTCCTTGAGGCGTCTGAGAGTTATTGAGTAGAGAAATTAAAGATAAATTGGAGTCTTGCGATTTGATCTGGACTGAAGAACCGGCACCGCAAAACGTTGTCTCGGTTGTTTCGTCACTTTTTGGAATTCCAATCGCCTTTAAAACTGTGGAACTCATAGGTTTTATTAAAAATTGTTGTTATGGTGACCAATGAATGTCATTATTTACTA